TACCAAAAGAGTGGTGACCTGCTTTGTCAGAGCAAGGTGGACGTCCACTGAGCTGGCTGGGACATGCCGGGCGCCGGCAATGATGCCCACAAGTTGAGCAGTGGATGCCTTGAGGTCAGCCAAGGAAGATTGAACTTGAGTAGACATTTGGATGGAGTTGACAGATGTGAGAATGTTAAAAGCAGGGTGAAATCTGTTATCACTAGAATGAAGTTTCAAAGAAACAATACAATTGAAGGACAATGTTAAAAATCATTCATTGTTTGTGTTTGTTTGGTCATGGTTCAACTTTCCGCAATCGCTGGCCATCTGTTGAACTTCAATGTTATCAGTTATCAATCAGTTCATCAGCTCATCAGATATCATGAGTTCTCAACCTGGGGTCAGATTTCATGACCCTCCAGTCACTGAATTCACTTCAATGGATGTGGATGAGTCCTCCCAGTCCCGGATGTCCCTTGGTATGTTTTGTTTTTTCTGATTTCAGTCAATTGATCTAACATGGTTTAGATCCATTAGATGATATATACCTTGGGCCAGATGATGAGTTAGACTCTGATTCCGGGTCGTCCGGTGGTTTGGATGTGTTGAATGTGATTCCCGGTATGTTTTCCAATTCAAATGTACATATTCCACATGTGCAAATTCATCACATACTTCCAGATCCATCATCTCCGGCTCTGGCAGATGGACTGGCCCTTTACGATGACCCAGACTTGTATCTTGGTCTGGAGGATACCTTGATTTCGTCTGATGATGCTCCGGTTGTACCCAATTTTCCTATGGCTGGTGGGGTCATTCTTTCTATTTCATGTTCACCTTTCATGGCATTTCCCCAGTGAATGAATCGACTCCGGAGCCTCATCTGGCCACTTCGGTTGTACCAGAGGCATCCATACCTTGTAGGTATAGTCATATCATTTCATGTTCTTTACTCATGTTATCTCCCAAGCTATTTCAGAAACTGCCGAACGTCAATTGCCCGAGCTGGAACTCAACAATGAAGCACTGCGTGCTATGGTTCAGGAGTTCATGCCAATCAGATCTTATGATCAAGCTGAAAGTAAGTATGCAACATTTGATTATTTATCTCTGCTAATATCCTGCAAGTTCAATCAATTGTAGATCGCCTGGGTGATTACCAACAGTGTCATGAAGATCTTCCTGCCCCTACAGTAGCCCAAATTCTTGAGGCTGACAGACCATTCAGGATGGCATGGGCTGAAACATGCGACAAGCTGCGGAAAGCAGATGCTGACCTCTGGAGGATGCAAAGGGTAAGGGAGTCAACCTCCAAAATGCTGAAGGTATTAGATACCCTCATTGAGGCCTTTGAGGACTCAAGTAACATGTAAATATTGATCAATGTCTGATAGTAGACACATTTCAGTATACTTTACCTGCTAAGTACTTAATACTTGGTACTTGTATACTGTACCTACTCAGTAGGTAGTCCTTGGTACTTGTATACTCTACCCACCCATTACTCGCTGCCCGGCTTTCTGTTCTCAGTACTCGGTGCTCGGTACCCAGTGCTCAGTACTCGGTGCTCGGTGCTCGGGGCTCGGTACTCAGGCCTTGGTACTTGGTACTCAGTGCCCGGTGTTCGGGGTTCGGTACTTGGGGTTCAGTACTCAGGCCTTGGTACTCAAGATTTGGGATTTGGGATTTACAATTAGGTTGTTAGTACTTTGACATATACATAATAGCACATATGACATTACACATGAGGGCAGGAACATATATGTACATTAAGTGCGTCCCCGTGCTCTGGTTACTCTAGGTGTACTGTCTACTGGCATTTGCAACTTACTCCGGGTCGTCCTCATGGATGGTTCAACAGTGACTCAAGTGCCCCGCCTCCTTTTCTGTGCTGGCGGCGTGATACTCTCTTCCATTTCAACATCATCTCTAACCTCGCCCGTCGCATCTTCAGTTAACTCAGCAAGGAGGTCTCCCATTCATGATGTCAGTAATGCACCTTTTTTGGCCGGCTTGGCTGGGCAAGGCTTTGGAATTGCATGTGGGACTGCTGGCCCTCTGAGTGTAGGACCTCCCGTCCTGTGTTTCTTCAGCAGAGGTCTCCCGTCAGCCAGGTCATCATCCACATCATGCTCCATATGATGAGTAGCACTCTCCTTATCACTCTCAGCTTCTGTCGATGACTCCCGAGGCCTTTGGATGGTAACCCTCGGCTGCCTTCTCACTATATGAGTCTGAGGAGAGGGCGAGTTGCCAGATATGACAGATGGTATCATGTCCCCATCTTTGTTCTTCCATGCTTTGAACAGAAATGTGGGACCTTCGCCTGTTTCCTGCCGAGCACGCCAGAAATGGAGCAAGGTAGTGGTGTCCCAAATTTGCAGCTTCGAAGGTTCCTTCAAGTCAACATCCACCAGAAGATATGTCTGGGCCACGAAGTCATCCTGACTTTGTACAATGGCACTCCATGGCACAACCGCCTTGTCCTTCCCGGAGCATATCCCTTTGTCCATGCATTGAACAATTTGTCAGGTGATGCGACGACAAACTCACGATAGTGCGATGTAAGAAAGGCCCTCACTATGGCCTTCTTCTCCTCAAGTTTGGTGTTGGTGATGTCTGGAAGGAGTGGCATACCCTCCCCGTCCATTTTGAGTTCGAAGGCTGGTTTTTGAATTTGTTTTGGACCAATACAGAGAGCTCATGAGGGTCGCTCGACAGTGGAGGCAGTTGAAGACAATGAAATGGCATGGCTTCGGCCATCATTCTGATAACACGAGCACAGGAGAACTCGCATTATTTTGCCTGGCATGTCCTCAGCCTGGGATTAATGTGCTGTTGTCAGAGAATAAATCTCTTGATGAGTGAGTCCTATTCTGAACCACTGTGGCCTCCGTAATAATACTAGTGATCCAAGCTGAAAATACATCCGGTCATTTGTGATGGACGGAAATTTCAAAGCCAAACATCTGCATCCCATTAAGCCATTCAATGAAGTTTGGCTGTCCGATGGGCTTGGATTCATGGTAGGAAAGGACAGGTATAAAATGCATCTGGCAGAGGCTGCTGACACAGTGGAAAAATCAAGCTGCAACAATCACCGGGCAGTAAATCAAGCTAATGCTGCTCGGCACAAGCTGGAGTCCACCAGTATCGGGGGAGTTGAACCATGGGTCACTTGCAGACAAATGAACATAACCATCATTCGTGGAATTGGGTTATGGCACATTCATGGCCATCAGGACAGCTGCTATGTCCGATATGCTTCTAACTTTATTGGAAGCATTGGTCGGATCGATGGAGAGATCATGGAGACACTATGGGCACGGCTCAATCTGATCTCCCCTACTGCTCAGGGAATGACATCTCCCCACCAAAAGGAATGCCTTGATTATCAAATGAATGACTCCAATTTCTGCAAGATGATTCACATGAAAAGGACTCTATGCCGGAAGTACAAACTGGCTAGAAATGGCATCTTGGAAAGTGGAAAGGCATTCAACAGACTCGATGAAGCAGCACCCTCACATTTGAAGACAGAATGGTTATCCAGGGAGAGGATAGCTCAGTCAAGCAGATTGAATGATCCTTCAGCCATGGATGAATATGAGATCAATATCAAAAAGGGTACATTGAGTTCCATTGTCTCTATCGAGGTCTGAATTAATATTGCACTCAGCACCTAGCAAAAAGGAGATCGAGCTTAGATTGTTAGAGGAGGGTAACACCCGCAATGCAGCACCCTCTCACAGATCTGTGGCGACATGGATATCAACAGGGTTAGCAATTGAAGAGGCTCAGATTGCATTGCTCATCGAGGTCTGAAGGATTGGAAGAAGATCCACCGAGACACAGAGATTAGACATCGCCCGTCAATGGGATCAGCTCCAAGGCCAGATAGATGGATTTGCTCGATCTGCTCTAACACATCTCGGGGAGGGATTTGATGCAGATGATGAACCTGAGGACTTGGACATAGATATTCTAGATGATCTCAATGATGACCCGGCAGATTTCACAGAGACATCTCATACATGGACAAACTCTCCCGAGCTTACTGTAATACCATTGCCATCGAACCTGGGGGTCGATAGATGCAGACGATGCACAGCAGAGGATCTGATTCCCCTGGAGATGTCGCTTCGTGAAGGGCAGGCCAATGATGCCCTTCACAATCTCCACATTTACCTTTGCAACAAGGCGATCCTGTTCCGAACAACCGTTAGGCAGGCCAAATCCCAGGCCCTGAAAACTCAAGCTTGGTCCCAGGTGACATCGGTGCAGCAGGCAGTCTCCCTCCATGCCAGCATATATACAAAGACAAAGAAGCAAATGATGAAACTTGAGCCGGGGCAAGACCAGCTTCAGAAATACAAACCCCTGCTTCGCAAGCAACTCAAAATCAGCACTGCAGTGGGCGACCCAAATGCCCAAGGTCAACAAAATGAATCTTTGGCTTGGTTTTGGTCTGTTGAAGTCGACCTCGGGGGTCCTGATCAATCGTGGAATGAGGAATGTGAGTTCCTGCTTGCATGTCATATCCCACGGTTACCTGACTGGACCCATGCCAAGTTTACCGAGTCCATTGGCTGAGGGCAAAGGCACTACAGGATCGATGGAGGGAGGAAATGCTATTGGTCAAATTGGGGATGGATTGGACATGTAAGTTCTTTTTGTGGAAAACAACCCAATGGGGCAACCACATGCAGGAATCATTGGAGAAACACCTTCCGGGTCACAGATGCTATGCCGGAAGGCAATCCCAAATGTATTCATTGCTTGCACAGGATGCACAGGCAGCTTTTCAAGACCTACAAAATGTGTTGATAGAGGCTGGAGATGAATGAACATTGTTTTCTCATGAAGTCCCTTTTTCCACATACACAATTGAGGCCTGGGAATTGTCTGGGTCAGCCCATGTCGGAGTTTGAATTTCGTATCCATCCATCAGTGATTCTTATCTTCACATCTTCACCATCTTTCCCTTGTATTGCCAGTGCCATAGTCCTGTATTAGCCATGTCTGCAACTCCTGCATCCACTTCTGGCACTCTGAATGCTGGAAGCCATTACCAACCCCTGAAGCTGAGCCTTGCAACTATTGACTTTGTTGGTCAATGCTAAGAATTTGAGCAGACTTTTGTCACACCACTCCTGCAGTACTCCGCTTCACAGAATATTGTGTCAGTGGTTCCGGTCCCTGTCGCTTATATCCTTAAGTTGTATTCCACGCTAACCTGGAACATGGTTCCGGACAACGTCTTTTCATTCCACCTCCTTTCATTTCATGATGAGCCAATTGCAGGACATCCGTCCCGGATTGTGTTCGCATATACATGTCCATGGTGGATGGGAAACACCACAATCCCTGATCAACCATGGCAGTGGGGTGAAATAATGGCTTCCTGCATCTCTCACTACCAGTATTGGGCGGTAAGATCTTAGATGAATTACCTTGATTGATGACTTATCTGTATCAGCTTAATGTTGAGGATGATGCTTTGGTTCTTCCAGAGAAGTTGAAAAACACTTCGACTCCACCACTTATGGGACTGAGGTTCATTAAAGAACACATGGAAGCATTGATGGAGGAGCAAGATCAGGGCATCAAAGCCAAGATGGGAGAGGTGAAGATGTACACTGACATGTTAGAGAAATTGAGGAAAGGCAAAGGAGTGTAGTCCCATTCAGTCTTCATTGTATACAGGATGTAACATATTCTATGCATTCAAAAATCTTACATCTGAGTCCTGGAAGCCCAGGTCCCGAGTCCTGAATTTTGGAGGTCGAGGTTTGGAGACCCGGAGCTCGGCAACTGTGTTGGGTGTCAGGGTATCCAGAGCATTGGAGATAGCATGTGTCAGTATTTTGCGCTTCATGGTTCATGTTTCATGGTTATGGAATTGGGCGTCAGGGACTCAGTATTGAGAACAGTGTCGAGTCCCAGGTCACGAGCTCCGAGTCCCGAGTGCCGAACCCCAGGTCCCGAGTCCCGAATTTTGGAGGTCAGGGTTCAGCGACCCGGAGCTCGGCAACTGTTGGGTCTGGGGTTCGGGACTTGGGACTCGGAGCTCATGACCTGGGACTCGACACTGTTCTCAATACCGAGTCCCTGACGCCCGATTCCATAACCACGAAACATGAACCATGAAATGCAAAATACTGACAAATGCTATCTCCAATGCTCCAAATACCCTGACACCCAACACAGTTGCCGAGCTCCAGGTTGCCGAACCCCGACCTCCAAAATTTGGGACTCGGGACCTGGGCTTCTGGGACTCGGTATTCAGAACCATGTCGAGTCCAGAGTCCACAATGTCAGGGCTCAGGGTTTTGTCAAATGTGTATGGCAATAACAAATGTTAATTCGAGTGTATTTATACATCTTCCCCCAGTCTCAAATATCATGTGCTGAGGTCCAGGTGTTGGGACTCAGTAACCTGGCACTCGGGACTCCCACATGTCAAGTCCCAAGTTCCAATTATGGAATACCGAGGCTTGCATCCAAATTATTCAGTCCCACATATCACTTTGCAAATGCTCAAAATTGAGTATTAAGGTCCGGATAACCATTGGTACATGGTATTCATTTGTTGGAATGTATATAGGTCACAATGCTTGCTCTTCGTTTGATCCTTCACCGCTGTATGGACCGTCTCTCACAATCCTTCCGGAAAACGCAATCATACAGCTGGAATTGTACTTGAACTCCAGCTGAAGGCTTGGCATTGTCATCCGAGCATTAGAATAGTTCCCCACAGTGGTGAGAATGTCGAAGCATTCAGCAATGGACATGTGGTCTCGATGATGGGGGGTTTCCCAATTGGAAATGATGGAGAGGGTGTTAAACACAGATGCCTAGTACTGCAGGGCCTCCGGCATCTGTGGCAGATCCTTGCTTACTGCTGTATTTCCAAGGTTTGACAAGATTCTCAATCCTGCCCAGTACTGCTCAGGATGCATGACTCTGAGTGCCATGGACGCGATGGCTGCTGGCCTTGCAATGGCTTTGAGGATATTCTTGCAGGAAGGTCCCTTTAATGATGCAGATACCTCCGGATCTGACACATTCTTTGGGATTGGTGAGTATGACTGCTGGAATCACCATCTCATCAGATCCTACCTCATGTCCCTGTTGAAACCATGCCGGAGATAGATTGATGCATCTGGGAGTTGGTCCAACATCTTCCGAGCCCCAGTTGAACAATGTTTGATTAGTTTGCCAATTGCCATAAGCCCTTACACTTTTTTCGAGGCTTGGAGCGAGAAAATTGGTGGCCTCCCTGATTTCCTTCTGTAGGTTCCATTAATATTCAATATCCATTGAGTAACAATGTATATTACACACCTGGGTGGTGTCAGTCAGGGTGTCTGGGAGGTACCATGCAATGATGGCACCAGATGCATCGACAATTGTGGCAGGTTCATCAACCAACCTTTTGCCTTCATGGCCAGGAGGACACCTCTCAAGCAACCTCGCCTCTCTATGTTCATTATGCCCGGTGTCCTTCGGGGAGATCAATTTGTTACATCTTGCAATATCCATCTGCATCTGAACTGTCATGCAGGAATTTGAATGATAAAATGAATTTTCTGAATCTGCACAAAGACCCACTGGGATTTTTATATGCCTTTATGAGTACATCAGCCAAGCGATCACACGCCATCACCAGATCAGTGTCTAGGTTGGGGGAAGGTATGACTGGGCCTCCTTCAGTCTTCTCTGCCTTGAATTTCTGTTCGGTATATTCCCCTGCTTCATAAGTCACAGTCAGGGCCCAAGTGCGCCAGATGTTTATGCTATCAGGAGGGGAAGGGGAAGAACCGTTCATGCTGGATGTTAATCTTGGGAAATCAGACGCTGAATGCTGGATGTCCAGACTTTGGTGTTATAGGGGGTGGAGATAGAGAGGATCAGATAAGGGAGCTTGGGATAATTTTGGCTGTCAAAGATGTATTATCATCCATTGCTCAATGAAATACTACCTGATTGGAAGTGTGCTGGTCATCAGATATTCATTTGTCGACTCCCAGGTCCTGGAACTCAGAGGTCGGTACGGTTGACCCATATTTGGGTGGTCAGAATTTTGTGTCTTGTAGGGCAACACAAGCTCCGCACAGCCATGTCAGGAGATCACCTGCTGCTCCGGGAACTCGGTAACTTTGATTTATTACCTCCTCTGAGTACGTTGACTCACATTTTGGTGGTCGGAACTTGGCTTCTTGTAGGGCAACACAAGCTTTGCACCCCGGATTCCACATTCTGCAAGACAACCTAAGCACCATCAAAGGCCATGTCAAAAGAGCACCTGCTGCTCTCTTCAGAAACATCTCAACTTCGGTTGGCCATTTAACATGGAAAGTATTAACTAAATTATGTGTTGAGTTCTGGGTCCCGGACCTTGGAACTCGGAACTCGGTACAGTTGACTCAAATTCTGGTGGTTGGAACTTGGTGTCTCGTTAGGATACACATGGGCCCACTCATCTATATTTTATACCACCCTCGGCCCACCGGTCTCATTAATATGTGTCTGGGCCCACACGTATAATACAATATTTTATAATACCCTCGGCCCACCCATCTAATTTAATATGTGTCTGGGCCCACCCATGAATGTGATAACAAGTACCTACCATCTATCTCATACATATCTACCTTAATACACCCATCTGCATAATATCCAACTACCTCAGCCCACTGTCTACCTAATATTCATGTACATTGGCCCACTCATCTACTCTATATATTCTCTGCATGGGCCCACCTGCCTCCATCGGGAATAATTTGCCTCCTGGCCCATCTGTCATAGTCGAGGATATTGTTATCCTGGGCCCATGGTCCACTGGCCTGTATCATACGGGATATTATGCACGTCCGTTCCCTCGTATTATACGGAGATAGGTCACTGTAATATGTGTCTCAGGTGCCTTCCTACAGCGGTACCAGCTGGAATGACACGCTCTTGGTCTCGATGGCCATGTTGCCCAAAACTAATAAGTTCGTTGTAACCATAGCATGAGGGCATAGAGTATTTTACCTAGACACTAACTGTCATACTGACCGGGTTTGAGGAACGTCTGGAACGTCACCCCCTTTACTATCTGTTACAGTAACATGACGTGAGCCCCCAGCTACAGATATGCCCTATGCCACCTTGCACGGCAATGACACGATACCCGGGCCTTTAGGCCTTGATGACAGATGATGATTAGAAGAGAAGCCCGGAAGATGCCGGCTTAGATAAGCGATCTGGACCGCATATGATGACATAGGTCTAGAAGACCTATTCTTGTTATCAAGATAGAAGGCAAGCCTCATGATTGCCTCATAATACAGATAGAAGGATGCCTCGCAGTCCTTATCATAGATAGAAGCCTGCCTCATGCATGGTATCTCTGACTCGATAGATAAGCAGATTAGAACCCAGCTTCAAGCTGAGCTTAGATACGATAGAGTAGCCTTATATAAGGTCGACAATTAAAGTAGATGTTCCTTACTTTAATCTTACTGGGTTTTACCTTGAACTCCTTGTTCTGCTAAAGCTACTTGCTTGACATTCGACCCGCACCTTCAGAAGGACTTGAGACCCTTCTGCCTGTAACTGCTATCATAGCTCACCTCCGCAAGCTTACGCAACTCCTGCTTGTCTGTAGGAGTAGACTCAGCGTGCCTTTGCACATTTCTCTTCATTTTATGGTCCACGGACCAAAGGCTACTACTTCAAGGGTACAGCTTCAGAACTGGAGGGTGCAGAAGTGCCTGATGGATCGCTCTTCCTCAAGGTCGCAGGGTCAACACTTCCTTCCACTCTGAGAGAACATAAAGCCAAAAGTCAAGATTCCAATAAGAACTTCTGTCAATTGAGCTTAGTGACTCAGACTCGGAGTAAGCATCAGGATTGATTGCATACCGAGAACGAGATGTATACCTGCTGGCGTGCTGCTATTGATTTTATTGCTGACGAATTGACAAATTTGTCCTAGAGTATCATAGAGGAATCTTAAGCTTCTGGGCTACGTTAGGGTCACATGCGTGTGTTGATGGGAACATGTTGTTACTGCCACTGTGCCACATCAACTTGAAATTGTCGAATGCCAGTGGTCCAATGCATTTGTGCCACATTGGCCGACCAGATACAAGGCAAGTAGGAAGTAGGAAGCAGTTGTCTTTCTTGTCATCTTATTTTTCTTCCCTCATCAACTCTGCTAACAACACTCAATCAGCGCAGTCATTGAACATGTCATCTCCTGCCGATGAGATTGGTGACGCACCATCTACTCCTCCATGTGCCATTGCACCAGCTCATGGTGCTAGTAAAGCAGAATCTGCCACAAACAGCCGTTGGGTCTCCATCATCAGTGAGAATACTGACCTGGTCGGTGTCCAGTGCGTACCTTTCTTGTTTATAATAATAGTAATAAGTGATGCCTGACATTCCATCAAGGGGTTAAGAAAGTTTGCCTATGGATTCAACAGGATATTGAGCAGGTCACAGAGTGCAAGGAAGATGTCATCTTCATGCCCCCTACAGTGCGCTTCTTCCGCACCGGAGACCAGCAGCCTGAGCTACTGCATAAGTGCTTCAAAGTAGTTCTGCTGGTGTGCAATGGACAGGCCTTTGCCGCACTCGTAAAATCCTTTGACGTCAAGACAGCTCTCAACAAATAATGAGTACATGTTCAAAGTTCGCTGATTGGACATTTTCATGCTCACAATGATTGCAAGTGTGATCCAGGAGTCACCAACATCGCTCTCTCACGCCTTGAAAAGATCAACTTTGATAAGATGTGTCCTCCTGCCCGAAAGATATTCTCGCTTGCATCGAGTTGCAAGAGAAAGACTCCAGGAAGGATGAAAGGGATCAACTTACAGCCCTCTTCCTATACAGCGACAGACTATGTCCCTTCCAAGCCAGAATATCTACCAGTGGATTATTTTGACGCAGAAGACCCGGTGCCAGGTCCTTCGTGGACTCCAGCAGCATAAACTCCATTTGATACTGGTTGTAAGTGATGATATTTAGGACTCTGAGATTGAGCTAAATTAGCCAAGCTGCAGTTCTATCTTCTGCCTTTACTGCTGCCAAGCCTTCCTGGGACGTCCAGGTCCAGGTCCAAGCGCAAGGCCACAGACACTCTGGAACTTCCCATGCAAGATGAACCCGGACAACACGGACGTCGGTCTAGATGTGACCGTCCAGATGGGTGCCTGTACACCGCTGAAATGTTTGTGGTCAATCTTGGAGTCAGTCATCTGCTGCACACTATCGTCTTCGGTGAGTTCGTTCATCTGTTGAATGTATCTCACTCTCACCAAAGCTTTTTCAGATGATCTAGTGTCACGCTGTGACAGTGACTGAAAACACATCGCGCAGGAAGTCACCAATCAGTCTTCTGGTAAATAGAGCACGAGGCTCTGCCTGTTTGCGGCCGTCTTTTAGTCAGTTTGTTTATCGTAAGCGCTTCGTTCAATATCTCCCGCGCGTGATGGTGAAAAACTTGGAGAGGTGGATCTGCTGCTTCACACCAGTCACAACACAAGAATAATGCACTAAGCACTGCAAGGATGGGCCACCAATGTGGTCCCTGTCACAAGACCTCGAGACATGGATTGCTATCCTCGACATCCAATGTTCAGATCCATTTCGTGCATTCTCGTGTAAGATATTGTCCACGGCCTTGTGGCTCAAGATTCACTGGAGTTCTGGGTCGAGCTTTGACTGAATCATCTTTGAAGTAAGTTCTATCGCGCCTATTAAATCATTTTCTTAGCCAGTAGCAGCATGGATGGCACATTTGTTATCTGCAATGCTGCCTGTGGGACTGTGCTGCATATAATACATTGCCATAGTGGGGTCCTTGAACTCAAATGGGCACCTACATGCCTTCATGTCTGAATAAGCACAATTTTATCCCAAGGTCCTCCGTCCTACTTTCAGCAGTCACGTATTCTGCCTCAAGTCTCCATGATATTTTCCACCAGATTCTAAAGGGACCACTGCTATGCACTGGGACTTGATGGGTTGGTCATGCCTTGCTTTCACTGCATTCATTATTTCTCACACCACAAAGGATCAGCTGTACGACATGGTGTTGCTCTCTTGCTTCCTTGTTCACAAGAGAGCTCACCATCACCCCGCTGATTAATCATCGAGGACGGCAAACAAATGGTTGATTTTGGGTGGTTCGCAGGAGGTAAGCAGCAGCTCAAAACTATTGGGAACAGCTCACCATAAAACAGTTCCTGGTGTCCTCAAGTCTTTGCCTACACAGTGCTCATAAGAATCTCGAACTTGGAGTTGGTTCTCCTTTCTTCGTGAGTGCTGTTGTGCATTCATTCACATCTTCCGCAGATCCTCATTCCCCAGATCCTCCACCTTCGGGTTTGTCTAGAAGAGGCTTTTTCCCTTGTAAATCTACTGATGTACTAGAGGCACCTAGGCTTGCTTGAGTGACAGAATCTCCAGGCGATCGAGCTCGTGGTGTGAGGAGCTTTTCTCGAGGTTGGTCATGTGCCTTTTTGTGTCACTTGTCTGGTTATGGACAACAACCTACTGAGTAGCATGATGAGGACTATACAGACTCATCAGTCAAGGCAAATCAAAAGCGAAATGGTGAGGTCTTTCTCTTCTAATAAATGTATTTCATTTATATTTTCATATAGCTAGGGGCGATAACCTGTCAGCTTAAATGACCCTTCTCAACTGACTTCTCGTGATCGCACCAACATTCAAACACTCAAGCTTGCTCTCTCAACTACACAGTGGAGAGGTGGCACTCAGACCAGACAGAAGGAACAGAACAACTGGAATGGGCAAGAGGTGACTACTGACATGCTCTAGCTATATTACCTATGGACCTCGAGGCTCAGGCAGGATCCCTGACACCTCAGACAGACCCTTGGAAGTGTCCCTGGTGCCAAACCCCCTAACATAACAGAACTGGCTTCCCCATAGGTAAGCCCTTGACAAGTTTGATCCTCACCGCTGGCTTGGTTCAGAAGGTCGCCTTAAGGATGCTGTACTGCAGTATCAATCCTTGATCCGGTGCAGATCCCCGCCAAGAGACTGCAGGGACCAAGATCAAAGATGGAGACATCATTCTGACGTATACTTAGTAACAAGCTTCACACTTTCCTGTTTTCATCAGCTGATAGTTGTTTGTTCAGAACAAGTTCCCAGTGGTTGGTGCACGGGATGATAGGAAGCAATTCTCAGTTGTGGTCGTCGATTCATGGCCAATGCTAGAAGGCAAGAGGCCCTGTTACTATAGCCCTGTTTATAACCTCATACCATAGCCTACGGAATAGGCAAGAAGCTGCTCTTCGTACTTTCTGCCATGGGCATTCCCTGCACTTATCTCCTTCTGCCATCCATTGGATCTGTTATTACAGAGGTGTCGACAGTCTTAGTGGGCGCTCACTCCCTACATTTGAACGGCGCCCCCATGCAGGCACGGCCCTTGTAGCTATGATGGCAAAACAGCACAGTGTTCCTGTCATCTTTTGCTGCGAGACATACAAGTTTGCAGAAACAATCCAGCTAGATAGTTGTACCAAGAATGAGCTCTGTACATTTCTCTTAGTCGGCATCTTTCATCTCAAACTAAAGACCCCATAGCACCAACTGGCCTTCATGTATCATGACAGTCGTGACAGAAGTCGGAGTTGATCCTTCCTCGAAGGCGAGAAATGACACTTACCCTCAAAGCAGGCAAATACCTTTTCCTGTTCTCAGCCATTTCCTCCCCTCCCCAATTTACATCTCCTCCAGTACCTCCCACTCAATTGCACCGCTCATGTCAGGGACTGTGTCGCCAATGTCTTCCTACCTGCCTTCACCATGTACATCGTAAACCACATATCCACAGCACCACAGCACCACACATCACCACACACCAGGAAGTACACTGTTGCATCCCTCTCATCACATTCAGGAATGAGTTCACCACCACATCCACATCCACATCCACATCCACATGTATAGCATAATTGATTGGGTCAATTGAACTTCTGCATATCACGAGTCCACACCTGTTGTGCCTTCGGCACAGGAAGGCAGCGGAGCGCTTGTGCTCCTTTGGGGCACCTCAACTCCTTAATAATTCTGGTGAGGACCATTTCCCACACATCACCCCATAGTTCTTTGATTTGTGCATGCCAAATTCATGTCACATCGTGTCGCATCATGTGATCTCGTGTACTCAATGTTCAATGTTCTCACAATTGCAACACTCAGTTCCCATCTCTGGAGTCACACAACATCGTCTCTTGGACGATATTTCTGGTTTTGTTACTCCTGGAAAACTGACGGTCCTCATGGGCAAACTGGGTGCTGGAAAGGTAAGGGTATTGTTATGTCCTATTGCTAGCACCACCTAACCGGCCCCAAAGAGCCACTTGCACACTTTCTCTATTGCTATGCAGATGAGCCGCATGCTTTAAGACCAAATCTGCGGCTATGTCTCTTGCTGGTGTTGTTGTTGTGACACTCTTCACTAATTATACCATTCCCAAGCCAAATATTCCTGGTGCTCTCCACTGGATCATGTATATCAATGTGCGTTTCTGGATTGCAATTGTAGGCTTGCGTGCAGCCTGTGCGCTATGGTTTTGAGGCTCTGCTGATGACTGAGTTCCATAATCTGGAGTCTGAGTAGTGCCTGCTCTATGCTTGTCCCTTCAGGTCCTGCATATCTAAATATATTGTTGACTAACCAGGTGTGTGCTGTAGTTGGTGCTCAGCCTGGTCAGAAATTTGTCAATGGCAACCTCTTCATGGAGTTATCCTATAGCTACTATTACAGCAATCTTTGGAGGGTAAGTTGATGAATGATTCTGTGGCATAGAGATTCACTAATTTGAGCTCTTTAGAACTTCAACCACTTGAATACTCACAGGGACTGACCGAGGACATTGACATCCGTCTGTCACATTTTGGGCGCAGAGGCCAGTGTTGATGTTAGCAGTATCTCACACCCAACCACCCATGCAGCTTCATATCATGGGCATCATTTTAAATCTCATTACAATTTTTCTGACGAGTGCATTTTAAATACAAGCAACATTCAATTGGTGTACTAAAGCAAAATTTTCCTGCTGACCATATTTTGAATACAAACACACTTTTGTGAGTTAACATTTAAAATATTAGTATCATAAAAAGTGTATTCAAATCTTAAACAAAGGTAGACTTTAGCAAGGGACAGAATGATAATCTAAGTTTGGTTAGTATTTTAAATATTATTTAATACAAAATTCAAAATTCAACTAAGATATCTTGTCAACAAAAACATTGGAAAAAGGGTAACAAAAATAACAACTTTTTGCTGTGACAAATGATGATAAAAATTGTTCAAAAGTTTATTTACTATCAGGGTACAAAGTTAAAAATATATTAGGCTTTGTATTGCTGAAAAAGTATTTGAATTGTTAAAGTATGGGCTGATACAATATTGTAAAAAAACCTGACAAAATATTTAACTGAGGTCATCATTTCTTATCATGAAAAAGTGGGAAAGAAGCCTAAGTGTTGTTTAACATTTTGGGTGTCACAAAATGGTGAAATTTATTTCAACTTTTTTTAGGATCTTTTCAACATTTTTTATCATGAAAAGTCATCCATGCTTCCAGTGTTAACTGAAGCAAAGTGACACCCTGATTGGGCCCAATAGGAAGCAGGTATCTTTGAGGAGTTAGCCACTCTACAGACAGCTAGTATATGGAAAGTTGCTAATCTACCTGCCAGAGCAAACCTTGCAGGATCAAAGTAGGAAAGGACATTAGATGATATGTGGATGATAGAAATGTAAACATTAGCATGGTCAATAAAAGAACACGTGTGCAGAAGTATGCTAAAGGTTTGAATTTCAAATCAAGATGTTATTACATGCAGACAAATGATAATTTCAATAAGAGAGATAGAAGGAATAGTGCATGAAAATTGTAAATAAGATATATATATATATATATGCATGCCTAAGCAATACTTAGAACTGAGTAGGTAGCAATAAGTATGTAAGCCAGGTCCATGACACATCTAATGAGAATATAAATGAGAATAACTTCAAAGATATTGTCAGCCTAGCATGATATAAGTAATATATGCACCAATGAACCAGTAAAGGACATAGATAGGACAGACAGAGGATGTACAATGGACCTGAAGAAAAGCTGACATGAGCCAAAGTACATGTGAGAGTCACAATCATTGACCAATGACAAAATAGTTGTGTGCTACACTAGAGATAGCATGCACTATGCAAAGACCTAAAGATGATACAAAATGGCCTCTATGAGGCTGTAGAGGCTGTAAGTCTTACACCGAGTGATCTAGCATTGTGAGCAAAACTGGTTGTGCTGGCAGATGACAGAACTTGGCAGAACTCAGTGTTGTCAGAGAACTAGTTTATCATAATACAAGCGCTCCGATCGCCTTCGGACATAGTTCAACCTAAATCATAGTAACAGATGCTTATACACTACGTTCGCCGTCGTCTTTTCATCCTCAGTCTCTCCATATAGCATGTGAATGTCTCGACGACATCTCACTCTCGACAACACCATGTACAGTTGTCCATGTGCGAAGGAGTCCATGCGCAGGTCTAGTACTGCTTTCTGCAACGTCAGACCTTGACATCCGTTGAACGTGGTCACGTAGGCCAGTCTGAGAGGAAATTGTTTTCGGTTGACTGTCCAGGTGCTCCGCGGAGGCTTGAAAGAGAATGTGATGCGAGGCAAGCAATGCGTCTCACCAGTCTGAGGGACTTCGACTTCGACGAATCTGTGATGAAGTGCGGTGATGCGCATGCACGCATTTCGCACTGATCCGTTCTCGACCGACATGTTTCGTTGTATCGCGCACACCGCATCTACCTTGAGATCGAGGCAGTGCGGAGGGAGGCGTGTTTGTGTAAGTCAACATTGCTAAGTATTCCGGTGTCTGTTCTGGTGCATCTGGAGGCACCTGGTCCGCTTCTTTGAGATAGTCTGAGCTGAAATAAGATTCTGTATTGTTCATTCATCAGTCTCTGGCGTCATTGGACATGATAGGTGCTCACCGAAATCTCCAGGCAGTGCTTCGAGCATGATGTCGTTGAATTCGTCTACCAATATATTGCGAGGAGAAAGGAATGCTCATTGAATGCACATCATTGGATCCAGTAGAACGTGCGGGGGAAAGAGAAAGTCTATGGCATCAGTGATGCTCCCGATTTGATTGATGAGATGGAGACCTTGACGTTTCCCGGACCAGTCCTCTCCTAACGTGTCCACGAATTCGGTGTACTGTGGGTCTCCAAATGTGCATACAGGCGTGTTGAGAGTGAAGATGTACATGAACTTCCATAGAGGAGATGATTTCACGGACGCAGCCAGAGAAGCCAACTCTCCTGCACCACTGACGACGGGAGCTACTTGACAAAAGTCTCCCAAGCCGATGATTGGAATTCCGCTGAAAGGTTTGTCATAGACATTCATAATCCGACGGCATAAGTTGTCTACACATTCCCATGCCGCCCTATTTGCCATGGGCAATTCATCCCATATGATTGCAGTTGCGTTTCGAATGAGGTCTGCTCGAGCAGAGAAGGGATGTATTGTTGAATGAAGGTCGATGTTGTCATCGGTCATGGGAATTCCGAACATATAATGAGCAGTACGACTGTGCTTGTAAGCTGTTGCACAGAGTGCGCTGCTTCCCACAATCAGAATGATGTGTCCAGAAGCCCAGAGTGTCGATGCCAGTGCATTGACCATGTACGTTTTGCCTCTTCCTGGTCGACCCTCCACAAAGAACATGCAGTGTCGTTGGGATTGTATGCCATTGCAAATAGCATCAAAAATGTAACGCTGTTCCTCGTTCAACATCTCACACATGTTGTCCCATTGTGCTTCAAATGCAGCACGGTTGGATGCTAGAAATCTATCTTCGGTGATTAATTCAGCCATGCGCTTGTCAGGAATGCACATCCCGAAGTCTTGAAGGTGTCTTCCGCTGTGCGCAAGAATGTCCTCGATTTGGTGCAGTGTGTGTCTGTAACCGTTTGTGTCATCTCCGACACGCAGAATGTGATCAATTGACAGATTGTGCTTGAACTGCTCCCATAACGATGTTGTGGGATAACCTTCGAGTAAGACTTGTGCGAATAGAAAACGAAGTTGTGCAGGCGTTCGTAGACAGTCCACAGCTTCTTGTAGCGTGAGCAAGCCTTTCTCTGTTATTCTCGAATAAACCTAGGTTGTTTGCAGCTTCGTGGAAAGTGTTGAAGACCTGACCATTCACAGTTCATAGATCTTGAAAGGATGATGCTGGTTTGTGCAGCAGGAGGCTACAATGGTATCAGGCTGGTCAAAAGGAATTTCTGGGTGCACCTGTCTGCTGTCAGAAAGTGTCGGTTTAAACTGAGCTTACAACATACCTTGATGATGATGTGCGCATGAGGGAATCCCCGCTTTTGAAACTCAATTACCTTGATCAGGTATTTCTTTTCTCCAAATTGAGTGCGAAGAACACGTAAGACTTTCTCCAATCGAGATTTGAATATGCGAGCCACTACAATGGGAATGTCCGTTGCAGATTGGCCAGGATGAAGTCATGCACGAACTTCAGGCCAGTCTGGATTGAAAGTCATCATGCAAAAAAAGGTTGGTTTTCCAAATTTCCTGCCTAATGCCATGGCATCACACGTCTGTTCCAAGGTCCATGCACGTGAGCCGACGAAGCTTGAAGGTAGTTTGATGGTCGCTTCAAAATCTTCTTCATCTTCCTGATCTTGGACTTCTTCAGCATGTAGCTGGTGCTGTTGCGAGATGTATGCCAATCGCTCTTCTTCTGTGTGTGAGTACATGTCAACCAAGTATTCGCAGGTCAGTCTGCCAAAGATGCTGAATTGTTCGTTGTTATCTGCAAGCAGACGACTTCGATACCAGTCCACCTGTGATAGGTGTGGGATGCCGTCAATGGGAGTGATTCCCCAGCCGATGTCACCATGAGGAAAGAAAATCACATAGTGCAGTGGTTCATAGTGACACGATAAGATGTTGAGGAACTCGGGCTGTCTGTGACCCTTCCGACGAATGACAACTGACCGTGGATTGATGTCTGTCGAATTAGATGTGTGCATGACAGCTGCAAACTTGCCATTGGATGAGAAGTCCTTCAACTCCAGCTGCCTTTTCTTTCTCGAGCGAGGGCGGAATTGACACAGATGATGGACATAGGGATTCACGTCATTGAGATCATCAGTAATAGATTGAATGACTGTAGCATGGACTCTGAATTCAAGAGCTTTTTGCTGTCGCATGCATTCGTCGTAGAGAAACCAGTGAATGGAGTGATCTTCGTATTCTGTATCACGGACCAAATGATAAGTTCGTCCGGTGATGGCTACTGCTGGAGGTCCGATAGTTGGACCAGAGTTAAAGTGCTGGAAACCGCCGCTTATACCGATGCCTGCAAAAGAGAAGAAATTGTTCACTACACGACAGAATTCTATGATGTGTTTTAGGCGTATGTTCTCATTCAGCAGCATCCGCATGCGAACAGGCAGCGGGTGTAAAGGAGGTAGAGCCCGCGCGCCATTTCCACAGCAGAACGAGTCAGATTCAGTGGACAACAGAAGCGCGTGGCAATGTGGACACCGGCGGTTCCACATTGGCGGATCAATTGGAGGTGGAGGGTGTTGTCGAAGCGAAACCCACCATGGCACACGCTCCTGTTGAGGAGCCACGTGAGCAGGAGTACATCCTTGTTCTGATGCAGGGGACGGAGACAAAGATGATAGAGGTGATAGATTGGCTGGTTGCAAATTGCATTAATACATGAGTGAAATAGCAAACAATCGCACTATCTCACCGGTTAGCTGACATCGCAGAGCACTGCGCTGTTGATAATGCATGCGACAAATCTTGTTTTCATTCTGAAGATACTGAGGATCTGTGCAGGCAGCACATTTTAACTGTCGATGACACTGACGATTCACAGGCATCAGGAGGGAATAAACATCAACCAAACACGGTGCAGTTAATTCGAAGTAATCAAAAATACATGGACAGTTAGGAGTAAGCAGACAACAGAACAAACAAACAGATTAAGCCACTTTGGATGATGACACTGGTTCAATCTCTTCACCCGGCAACCCCTTTTTCACCGCTTTGGAAGACAAAACTTTTTCTTGCTTGGTCCCTCACCTATGTCCTCCGAAGCATCAAGCTTGCGAGCTTTGTCATTGTGCCGAGGTGATAGATCTAAATCAACATCTGAATCAGTATGAGATGCTCGCTTCCCCTTACCCTTTCCACCTCCGCTCCAATTGAAGCTTTTTAACTTGGCAGGAGGAACTGCATCTGCATGTCTGCGCTTCTCGATGACACCACTGGAAGGTCCAAGAGTGATATCGTGAACACGCATGACGCAGCGGTTGTGAAGGAGCTCAGAGATACAGCCTTGAACAATGATATGTTTCTCAGTCGTGCTTTCGACATGGACATCATGCAGTACAGTATCATGCCGCAACAACTCACGTGCATCTGCTGCTTCTATCCTGAGGATCATCCTCGCCTCACGAAGACACCAGTTCCTACTGCTCTCGACGAGTTCAAAAGAGCCTCTTGAAACCTTGCTGACGACAATGATGGTAGGAAGAGTCCTTCCACTGTCAGTCGGTTGCATCTCCTGAATGTAAGGAAGGATTTGTATTAGGAAAGGTACAAACGTAGAGAACAACGTATATCCACACAGTAAAGCTCGAGAGAGACATGTTCATCTATTGTGCTGGTAATTACGCAAGTGTTGATGAAGTAAATTCCATCTTCAGGTGGCGCAGTGGTTCCACTGAAGATGAAGACAGACACAGCGAGATCTGCAAGATCATCCTCTATGTCAAGAGAGAGAGGCACACATCCATCCATTTTCCAAAAGCATTTCCTGGCCTCCAATGCGTAGGGAACAGCATTTTGAATGCCAACGATGCCATGAAATGAGCACGCAGACGCCATGATGGTAAGTGATTAGGCCTATTAGGAGGAGAGTTAGGAGAGAGATCACTGCCATCTGAGATTCAAAAAGAGATCAAGTTGGAGCGCGCACGTGGAGTCTTTTCATCCTCAGAGTCTGTTGCATGCAGCGCGCGAAAGTGTCAACGACATTGCATGCTCGAAAGTGGTTGTTGATACTCAGCATGCGTTGAAAACAGCGCACAAATAGTTTAGTAACATCGCACTCGGAGACGCAATAATGGAATGAAAATAGGAACAGAGTTCAGTGCAGCACGGAGATTTTAAAAACAGTGTATGATGTACATCAACACAATACAGTTCCAATGTAGTCTCTTAGGAGAATGATTGATTGGCGCCAAGCGCACATATGAGACCAGCCCAAAATCACTGCAGACGTAAGTGCAATGCCCTTGCTCCGCCCTGCTATGCTTTTCGCCCCCCGGTACACCAAAGGGAGTTACACGGCAAAGTGGGCGGAGCTGCGAGTCTTGGCACACATGTCTGAGCGGTGAAAAACGTATTGGAAGAGATTGATGAAGTGATTCCCACGAGAGATTGACAAAGTGATTCCCACGAATCGGCAAGTGGCGCGCGCACATGGCGCCAGACCGATTTACACGACAAGAAGAACTCAGCACGAGCACAGGTGGAGCACAGACATGAAATTCAAAGATACAGCTGGAGCGCGCACATGGTAGACGCGAATTGGTTCCACGGGATCAGACATTCTGTGCTTATATATATTAGAATGTACACTGTAAAAATTGCCCATCAAATGTGTTATATCTCTTCTTACCACTGGACTCTTCATTTACTTCTGCATCTTTCAGGAACTATTAGTATCAGCAGATTCTGAGATGGACTTCATTTACATTGACATAGAATTATTTGCTCTGTTTCCTTTGATTGCATCAGTGTCTGGAGTATCTCAGTCTCTCTCTCTCTCTCCTCTCCTATTAACAGGGTATTTTCTTATCTCCACTACATGCACCCCAGATAATATCACTTGATACCCCAACTTTTACTTTAATTGACATAGAACTTGCTCCCATATTACATTTCTCAATGAATTTGCAGCCACATCATTAATTTTCCATTGCTATTGTAAGTGCTTGAAGAGAAAGGCTGGTAGTTGCCTGATATCTATATATGAGATCCCTCCTAGGTAATAATTACTATCAATGCTTATACTGTATCACTAGCAGCACAAGCATTCATCAACAATATTAAAAGCTGGTCTTACTAGCCTAAAGATGCTTTGAGGTCTAATATGTAGTAGATGGGTCTCACAATTATTGGGCTGACACCAACAAGTATCATTATAGGGTAATTTGATGTCTCAATGTAGGTTAACCTAGTAGGTCCTTGATTAATATAACTGACTTATTCTTATATAGTGATGATGGAGTTGGCTATGGTATACTTTGTTCCTTCTGGAATCATCACTAAAGACTCTGGATATTGGTAATGTACCTATGATAGGTACTGGGTACCTGATATGACATCTCTACCACCATGTGATGATGACATTATTGCCTATCAGTACTCAAGATATACTTTCTTTAATTATCAGAGGCATCTTTGATGGTAGAATTTTTTCATATCTAAAGGTGATATGTCTTCTTGCTATATATATCACCCCAATTAGCAGTAGCAATGACATCATTGCTCATTTTAAACTTCATCTGGAGTAGTACATTTGAGGCAGTAGAATACTGACTCTTAATGATGGATCCAATTTGTTTGAGGAGGATATAGAGATGATAATCCACTATTATGAGCTTGACTATTTCTCTGGTATGTCACCAGCAATAACTTTCTTCCTGCTTATCCTCATCAAAAAAATCATATTTATAATATCTGCTTTCCTGCCATACTTAATCACTAATATGTTAGAATCAGTTAAATTTCTAGACCAAAAGGAGCCATAGTTGGGGATGAAATATAGTACATTCATTTATTTGTGAGCTTATTGATGTCTAAGTTGACAACTTGAAGGGAATTTATATCCACACATGCTTCTATGTGATAGATATGCTATTGAACTAGGAATGTGCACACATTGTCAAGCAACACTGCAGGCATTTTCACATTTTCCGCCACCCAACATCCAAAAAACACTGATTGAGAAAATGCATTCAGTGGTCACCCATGCTCCATGAATGCATGAACATCAATAACCCCCTGAACCAGCTGGATCAGGCAAAGAGAAACATGATGCATCAGTTTTGTTTAGTCTGCACTGACAAATCAAATTTCAAAGTCTGCAATTATATGCGGCAATTGTAATGCCACATCCAGATTACATAATCTTTGTCTTTTCTTCTCAACTTCCATTGTTGTTGAATGCTTAGTGTTCAGTATCAATGTCACCAACAAACACTTTGTATTTAAGATTCACCTCCAGCAAGCAGTTGAACACCTAACATTTTTAACTGAATGGATCTTTTCACCATTGTTGAATACTTAGCATTTGATGTCAAGACCGTCAAACATGAGGTTGACATTGCATGTCAACTATTGTTGACTGCATATCTATCACAATCATATTATTGACTCTGAACACTATGAACTTGACTTGGATGTTGCATGCCTAACTGTTGTTGACTGCACATGTATCATGATCATATCATTGACTCTAGATACTATGAACTTGACTCAGACATTGCATGTCTGACTATTGTTGACTGCATGTCTAGTTCTTTCAGTGTTCTGCATCTTTAGTTTCATTCAATGGTGCTATTGGCGAATTCATGATCTCGACTCATTTCAGGTTGATATCAACAAAGCGGTCATCTCTGGCTGTGGGCATCATACAATCAACTATAAACATCTGTACAATGGCGATAAACTTCCAGAACCTGATGTAAAAAAATCATATAATGAGTCTTCCTCAACTTCTTAGTGGTTGAGGATCACAGTTATGATTTTGAAGGTCACAAACATCATGTTGTCATCTGTATCTTATCAGTATTATTTATGATCAAAGTACATCCTGACACTACAGCATTGACTAGGCAACTTTTGCACAAGGGGAAAAACACGATTATTCCACCCTCCAACATCTTTTCCTATAGCTACTCTGAGTCAGCTAATCTGAGGGCATGTTTAGTTTGGTCTTTTCTGATTTTGAGAATAGGGTGTATTTACGAGATATTACTATGATTTACTGTGATCTATATCTTCATTCTAGTTTTGCATATCTTTGCAACCATCTTCCTATAGCATCATAGTACTGCACAAAGCCAGTTATTGATTTGACTACACCATCTATCAATCTCCATCTTAACCATTCTAAGTACTACATTAAGTTAGTTAATGATTTAATGACCTTCAAGTATCTAAGCACTACATTAAGCCAGTTAACAGTTACTGTTCCCAAGATTTACCTTAATCTCATTCCTTTCAAAGTCATTAGGAAATTGCTTGCTTTGACAACCCAACTTTCACACCTCCTTCTATAAACAACTACATCATCAACCATTGGTGCTTATTTGAACCATTGACTGTAAAGGATAGTAAGAACTAGTGATTCTATTGCCAATCACATCATAGTCAAATAGTGTATATCCTATTGGGATGCTTAGTGAGAAAGATTCTTAGAAGGGTCATACTTGTATACCACTCCTTACTGAACTTCATCTATTTAGCCCAGTACCATACTTATAATGATCAAACCCTAAACTATCTTCAAAATGCTTTGGATATATTTTACAAGCATATGAAGGTGCTTATTAAGTTGGGTGTAAGGTACCACTTCAATAATTCAAACATACACAGCCTTATCCACTATATCAGCCCTATATGTCTGTTTGATGTTATGGACAATTACAATACAGAGGTATTTGAGCACCTTCACATTGATTTTACTAAGAACATCTAAAGAGCAATCAATAAAAGGGAGTAGCATCCTCAAATAACTTTCTAGCTGGATCAATATGAGAAGGTGTCATCTTTCTGTCCACACCTAGATGACTCAGGTGAAGTCAATCTCCTAACTCACATATCCCTACCAAAAATTTTAGTCAATTATTATAGAGTATCATCAAGTTCCATTACTGCCCTGGACTGGTACATGACCTTAAAAATTATCTTAATTAATGTCAGAAAAGGGCTATAGATGAAAGATTAGAGATGATATAGCTTCCATTTGATAAGCTTAAAATATACCATAGTTTTAAGTTTGTTTCAAAGGAATTAGGGAAGGACAAGGTTGACAGTAGTAGACACTGATTGGGTAAGGGCTTGTTTAGAGACTTGTAGTTCCCATGGTCAGGAACACTTTGATAAAAAATTTCCCTTATTTTTCCTATCAAAACATTGAAAAAAGTGATTTATGTTTCAATGATATTCTATGTGTGGGACATGATACAATAATTAGACATGTTCCTTTGAGGATAATGCTGTATTTTCCATCTATTATCTTTGAAATAACAGCTTAAAATAATGTTAATTTTCTTTTGTATTTTTCAATATACACAGAACATTTGGCAATATGAATGAAAAACAACATTTTCACCAATGGCTCCCAATTCATACTGAGACATTGCTGGCACTTATGTGTTAATAAAGGTCAGTGTTCATGGTTTCTAAACTTAGTCTATAACATTTACATTAGTGAGCTTTAGCTGCATAATGATAGCTATGGACATGGAATTTGATTTAGACTGAGATATGGGTGAGAAGGAAGTTTTAGAAAGAAAAGTATTGGACTCTGCAGAACTGCAGTGTATCAACAAGATATTAGTACTTTAGTTATATTATATGCCTAATCCTTTGTTTATAAGTTACAAGTACCTCCCAAACTATGTGAGACAATAGACTCATACCACACTTTCACTGCATCATTGTCATCATATACACTTTTCTCAGTGGTATTGTCCTATCAAGATGGGCTCACCGGAGGAGTCGCAGGTATCTAGTGTCAGAAATTTCTGGGTTTGATTTTAATGCATTGTAATGCATTCTAATGCCACAATGACAATGCACCCATGGCAATGGGAATGCAATGTAAGCTCCGTTTTGGAATGCCGACAGGTGCCAGTGATAATGTCATGGCAATGTGACACCAATTACTGCCAATGCCCATTGTCGTGACCATTGTGAACTTAATATCAATATTATTATAATGGTATTAAAATAAATGTATAGTCCATGGGAATGTCATCTATCTGATTATGATGGTACCCTAGGCTGGCGTGATTATCCTATTAGTCTATTATAGTCTCTTATTATATACCTATCTACCGTCTATCTGTAAGTTATCTATCTACTATCTAATCATCTACTGTAGTCTATTGCATTATTAATCTACCGTAAGTTATCTACTATCTTAATCATCTACTATAGTCTATTATATTATTAATACATTGTTTTATTACACAGGCTGGTTCGAACTAATAACTACACTATTTCTTACAGTAACATTATATACAGTTAGTAAGCAAAACTGTTAGACTACTAGGGCTTTATTATAAGGGAAACCAACTCTATTAGACTACCACTCTATAGCCTTATTAACTTATAATAAATTGAAGACCATAAAAAGAGTTGCATTGCATTGAGTGATTGGGGTACAGGATGTGTAATGGAAGTAGACCAAATAGCTCTGCAAGCAAGGCTGGCTAGCATTTCATAGTGTGACAGTTCATTGAGAGGCGGAGGGAATGTAGGATTAGGATGCTGAAGAAGTTGCCTGTCTGGCACAAACATTTCATAGCAGGCACCATACTTGCGACCACATAAGTGGATCTCTTCATCAAAGGCCATGCTTTCCTCGGAGACATTTTGACCCTTCTTCTTGCACTTTGGCTGGTTTGCCTTGAGGATCTTATTCTCCTCAGTCAACTCCTTGTTGATGTCCTTGAGTTCTTGCAACTCGAGCTGCAATTCTCACAAAGCCTGAAGCAAAATTTAGATGACATGAGTGACAGCGAGAGGATTGGCACAGACCTGTTTGATATCGGCAAGGCCTGGTGTGTTCAATGGTGGCATTGCGACAGTGGAAATGACCAGGGCACCTCGATGAAAGGAAGGGTAAGGTAAAAGTTATCATTTGAGGTGCTTGAAATAAGGAGCTAGACGGTGCCTTGTGCTGGTGGCAAGGTAATTAAACACTGCATAGGATGAGTCATTCAAAAGATAACAGACAGGTAAAATGATGCATGGTACACTTACGTGGCGCAACTGAGAGAGTAATCATTACCTTATGCCAAACACCTAGACTTCCTTGTGGCGAGTGTGAGCGGACATGTGAGGTTGAATATGAGCAGACATGTGACATGATGTATGTCATGGCTTCCTGGGCAGCTTTACCAAGCTCAGGTGGATAGTCTGTCATAAACTCTCGATGATGGATGTGGTAGCCGATAAGGGAGATAGTAGGATAATGTCGGTATCAATATTACAAGAACAGTATAGGCCATGATGTTCAGGGATGTGGAATGGGCTTGGTGAGACTGTTGTGAGAGTTGAACAAGCAAAATGTGAGGCCTTCCATGTCAGATTGTGGAGAAAAAATGAGAGCATTGAAAATGCAAGTTCCAACACTAGTTTGAATGACACCAGCAGCTCCGCAGGCATATTTGTGTCCAATAGAGCTGGAGATGTTGGTGGATCATACACTTGTGATAGTTGAACCACGTGTACATATAACAGATGGAAAGAACTTACATATACTAATTTGCGTAATTCATCAATTTTTTCTTGGCAGGGGTGTTGAACCAACATCATCGATTCGTACCATGCAGCATACTGATCAAATGAGTAGATGAAGATGATATAAGACTAGTTCTTCATGCTGGATGACCAGCAGACTTGTGCATTGACTTCATACACAAGAACATGTCAGTATCAATCATATCAATAACCAGATAATCACCCCAGATGCTGTGATCTTCTGCCAGTGCTGCGGCACTGCAGATAATAGAGTGATCTGAAAAAATCCAGATGAGGTCCTTGGTCTTTCACAAACACGCCAGAACTGAAAGTATTTGTCTTTGAGAGAGCGTTGTCCAACTGGAGTATTGTATGGGTGAACGAGCACAACTGGATGAGTTTGACCATCCATGACACAGGTGAAAAGCATTAGTAAATGCCCAAATATCACTCCAGCTTGAGTCTGAATGATAATGCAGTCATATCAAGGGAAGTTGTGAAATGATGGGCTGCATTGAAGGTAATCTGTGGTGGTTCGCCAGTTCACAATGGACTCGTAGTTGACTTTTATGAATTGATGCTCGGTCACCTGCATTCTATAGTTTAGACATGAATTGGAAAACAACAGAATGACATACAGTTTCATCAGGCATGAACTTGAGTCATTTTCCACCAGATAAAGGTATTCCGTGAGCAGGGAGGGAATCACTCAGAAAGTTTGCAAGCTTGATGCAAAACCAATTGAACACATTGTCATTCGTATGCAGTTGCTCCAAGGCCACAAATGTCTGCTCCTTTTGTGCCACACCCAACTTAACATAGAATGTGTCGTCAGAATCATTGTCAGGGTGTTCTTCATCATCCTAGCTGCCCTTTCATGGACAAATGAGAGTACACACCTGTTCAGCAATGTTCTTGAAGTTCATCTGCTGAAGATAAATTTGTCTGATTGGGCCATGACACTTCTCATTCAGCTTGGTGTTGGTGTTTCACATGGCACCTCTTGCCTCAATATCGTCAAACAGGTGAGCGTGTGCATGTCGTTTTGGGTATGCCCAGTTCTTTCCTGAGTCATCCTTTGCGCTATATTGCTATATGATTTAGATTGTCAGTAAGAATTCAACACACAACTCAAATGAGAAGCTTACATCCAATAGTTGAGTGGACTCCTTTATGGTACGATGGCGTTAAGCAATGGTTTCTGACATATGGAGTTCGAGAGCTGCATACATGTCAATGTTGACATATTCATGAATGCATTGAAGGAGTAGGTAAGGAAGTGCGTGAGTGGCTTGGTTGATGATGTCATGCGCAGCAAATACAATAAGCTACAGAACCATCAGAATTGGTAATACAAGTCAGAATTGATGAAATTGCCTTACCTTAGAAATATCTTCGTACTTTGAGCCATCAGAAAATGATATGTCCATGACATGATTAAAGTGATTGATGTTGTGCCAACGTGGCATTGAGTTGAAGCTATTCAAATTGTAATGTCAGTATCCACTATACCCAAAGCCGAAAAACATACTATTCATCAATTTTAGACTGTGTCTGCCGACCAATTGATTTGATGTGTTCCTGAAACTGGTCCAAAGATGGTCAGAAAAATTACCTTTGTTATTTACATGTAAGCGGTCAAATGAGACTGCAGAATGGATGTCTGTGTGAGCAACATCTGAAAATGCATTCCAAAAAGAACAATTAGAGTTGGGAATGAAGGTACAACAACAGGAAACTTATATCTACATCCTGGAGGCCTCAAGACATTAATACCTTCTTTTTGTCTTCTTGTCGAGTGAAACTTCGAGCCTCTCTAAGTGTAGCTTGTATAGATATGCTTGTTTGCAATGGATATGATGTAAGCACATCACCAAGTTCCTCTCTAGGAACAAGACAGACAGGACAAGGGAATTTGCACCTCATTCCACATATCAAGGTCATAATGCATCTGCAGAATAGCCATTAGTGAGTCATAATGATATAGGCAACACACGTACTGCTCCTCATAGTCAGCCGATAAAATAAGAATAAGTAGGTAAAAAAGACACTTGATACCATCCCAACACTTGATGCAAAAACCAGTTTTTGAGAGTAGTGTGAGTGATTTGAGAAGGCACTTAAATGATTCATGCCAGACGACATTCTTGAAATTGACGAAGGACTGAGTTCCAGAATATTGTCTCTCTTCTTCAACCTGCAAGAGTCAGTCATAAGCATAGAAGCTGATGACAAATTGAATAATTCATTACAATTGGAAGCCAGCCTATGAGGCGACCACCACCAAAACCCTCACCATTGCATATTCTGACAGGTGAATTTGCACATCGTGCAATGACAGGATATGCTTTCTGATGACCAAACAAGGAAAGTTATGCCTTGTTGGCATATATGATAAAAGTGAAGGGTTTTCCTTCATCCTTCAGCAAGGATGACTACAAAACACACATTTACATTGTTAGAACATTCAAATTTAGTAGCACATACATACTTGACTATCCCAGAAGGCATTGGCCATCCATGGCTCATCAAAAAAATGCACAAAGTCTTGTCCATCATACTTGTTCAACCACTGAGCATCAAACATGAAATGCGGACAAAGGCAAGGATCTTTCAACAGGTCACAGGCCCAGTCCCAGAGCAGCCTATACCTGTTACGACGGTAAGTCGCGTGCGAACTGGGATGATCTAACAGCGACGATCACGACAGTGATACCACGTGCTGAGAGTCCAAGGTCGGCTCCCACAGAAGAGCAGGAGTTGCGTACGTTTGCGGAGGCGAACGATGATAGCGGTTTACAGGCAGAAGGGGTCTCAAGTCCTTCTGAAGGTACGGATCTGATGTCAAGCAGGTAGCTTTAGCAAGACAAAGGTTTCGAGGTAAAACCCAGTAGGATTAAAGTAAGGAACATCTACTTTAATCTGTCGACCTTATATAAGGCTACTCTATCGTATCTAAGCTCAGCTTGAAGCTGGGTTCTAAGTGCTTATCTATCGAGTCAGAGATACCATGCATGAGGCAGGTTTCTATCTAAGATAAGGACCGCGAGGCGTCCTTCTATCAGTACATGAGGCAACATGAGGCTTGCCTTCTATCTTGATAACATAAATAGGTCTTCTAGACCTATGTCATCATATCATGTAAGCGATCCAGATTGCTTACCTAATCCGGCATCTTCCGGACTTCTCTTCTATTCGTCATCTATCATCAAGGCCTAAAGGCCCGGTTATCGTGTCGTTGCCGTGCAAGGTGGCAGAGGGCTGGTCGTGTAGCTGGGGGCTCACGTAGTGACTGTAACAATACCAAACATTAAAATTGTGCTCCTGGTCCCTATGCGGGACCGAAATCACTTTCTTTTTGAACTACACTTAAAAATTAATTGTTAGCAAGGTATAGCAAGCCAATACTCAGCAGACTTACATTTGCATGACAGGGAGATGCTACATCCCACATCTTACAAATGCTGTCATAGTTAGTAACTGAGAATTTTTCAAGTACAGTGCAACGGATGAGACCAATAAGCTCATTCATTTGCAGTTTCGTAAGTTTGGCTTTCAGAATCAATTTAGCAAAGTTCGAGTCAATGTGTGAGGCAGACGGTTCCCAGGGAATAGTATTTTCAGGTACTTGTGAGTGAGTGGCAGTATGACAACAAAAATCAGTAAAGCGATCAGTTTTCATAGGGATGCCGCTACATGATGCTCTGTCCTGATGTCATCCTGCTGGAATGCAGGTGGCAGGACATGATCATCTGGTGCCTCTTGCAGCACTGTGAATGGTAGACCTACATGCAATAAATGAATGGCCAGGTCTAGTATTGACAATAGAAATATAAACATACCTTCATCAGGATTTACATACGGGTCATAAGTAGGTTCATGCATAGCAGGAGCTGCATTAGAGCCTAGAAATCATTAAATAAAATACGGATCCATTAAATCAAATCAAACCTCGGGATGCACCTGGCTGTTGTAATAATCAAACTGGACAGTATTGAGGGTTCAGCAGCTCAGGGTTAGCTTGAGCTGTCAAGAGGAGTTATGCACAGACCATATAGTAGACCTAGTTGAATGTACTCACCTGCTTGAGCATTCTGTCTCTCGTGATCTTCCTGCATCCGTAAGGCATCCCCCTTGCAGGCCTTCTGGTGGGCAGCAAGTCCATAGCTCTTGAATTTCTGGCTGCAAGTGTTGCAAATTGAGGTCCATTCAGATGGCATGAAGGTGTGTACAGTCCAAAAGTAATAATAATATGTAGATACAAGAATTTGATAGTGATATAAACAGGTATATAGATAACAACCTTATTGATTGAGATATCACATTCCAATGCATTGAAATGGTGCATGCAACCATGGGAATGATATCATGATATCAACAAGATATGATAATGATTATCAAATATTCTAACAGATTGGAACACCACGTGATGTTGTGGAAACAACATCTCAATGGCAATTGCAATGTCACACCATTGCAATGGCTGTAGGAAATTTCCAACAAGAGATGCATGGATCTTAGTTTCATACTCAGGACATATATACAAGTATAAGAAAGGTCTCAGAAAATCCTGTGGATCACATTTCTTAATCCTAAGCTAATCAGTTGAAAATGTGGGTATGGGTATCTAAAGAGTGGTGAATAGCACAATATATACTATTGAAGTGAACTAAATAATCATACACTGCTTAGACAGTCAACCTATATGTGCAATCAATTGAGGGAGCAAGTGTCAATTGGAGCTGAGTGAATAAGTTGTTTTTTGGTGAGTGAGATGTTGTGAGGGTGTACTTGCCTTTTGAGTTGGTGGCATTCAAGTTAAACTTGACACAAACATCTCTAAAGGACTAGTTCCACATGTGTAGTAAATGTCTTATCAGTAAGGAGAGCAAACAGAATACTCACCATTCATTAGTAGCTTATTAGTAGGAAGGAAGTTTTGCACATTTGTAACCATATCTGTCCTTAGCCAGCAAATCTGCAAGTTATGACAAAGAATGATCTGGAAGGCTGTGATCAGCAAGACAGTACACAATATATCATAGCATGCCAGTATAACATGAAAGGCTGCTTGTAGCAGAGCCTACTATGGTTGCTTTGTCAAGTCATGAAAGTTATTATAAACTTTCAATAGTCATTCCAAAGGACATTATTTTGTATTAGTCTACACAGCTGTCAAAAATGTGATTCTGTCAGAAAGCACCTCTTCTTCATCTTCACAATGTGTGTTTAATTGTTGATACCATAAATCACACTCTTTAAATGCTTGTGACAAAGAAGAAGAACAGTCTAGTGCTAACATGATAAGAAACAATCTCTTGAAGTTCTTCAATGGACAAATTTTCATATACTGAAAGTCCATGGGCAGTTGCTAATGTACTCAGAGCTAGTTTTTATAGTATTTCATAGCCATCAGAAAGTTATCTACATGATCATTGTGATTTGATGAAGATAAATTCACTTAGGTAACAATAGAACAACCTGCTTGGATAGCTAAACATGATTTTATCTGAGTAGATTGCCAGTAAAAGATCATTCAACTGTATCAAAATTATTTGGAAGTATTAAGACTGTGTACAAAGGGTAGGACTGATTCTGAGGGGCTTGGCTTCAGCTTGTGCACTGTGCCCCTTACCTGAGTATGTGCCCTTAATTTCAGATTGATGCCCGAAGAAAGTCCAAGGACATCCAAAGATGCAGGAAACTTCAAAAGGACTTTCTGGATAGGTGCAAGTAACTTCTGGATGAGTGCGGGAAAGTTCCGGAGGAACTTCTGGAAATTATAATGAGGTTTCATCCTGATATGGATATGTATAATGGCTACTCGGGACTTGTCCTGAGTAGAAGCAAACAGAGGAAAGGCTGTAAGGTCTGGAGGACCATGGGAAAGATCTGGATGAACTTCCAGAAACTTAGAGAATTAGATTGGATGAGCAAGGAGTGGAGGAGTGGAGGAGCGGAGCTCTGGCCTAGGGATTTTCTCCCTAGGCCCGAGATGGATATTGATTAAGTCAGAGGACTAGAACTGATATGAGGATTTAGTGTGAGATCTAGTGCGAGGACTAAAGTGATATTCAGACTGAGGGACTACAAGACATATACAAGAGTTTATATACTAAGTGACTATTGGAAAGATCAATAATCAAAGGTCAGAGGCTATGTACGAAGCATAGGTTAATGGATCAGTAAGCATACTGGTAGTAAGTATAACTGAGATACCAGGAATAAGGAATACCAAATAGGCTGTGTTAACATTATATGAACAGGAATTGAATTAAGAAGCTTATCATATATCAGATAGGAAACAGATCTATACATCAGATTAGATATGGTCCAGATGAGATACGTGGATATATGAGATATGATATTAGGGCAATGGGACAAAGGGCGAATGATACAGGCTAGCTGCAGAGGTATAAAGATCTGATGTATAGAGATACAGGGGTCCAGAGGTCTGGATGAAGTGTGGGAACATTGTTGGACATAGGTCCAGAATATGGGATATGACAGGAAGAACATATGTGCCTCTAGGCTGAACATTTTAAGTATGACTAGCAGAAAGCTGTGTAAGATCCATCTCTGAAGGCCAAATAAATTGAGACTCATTAAAATCTTACATTCACAAACAGAAGCCAATCACAGCCAAGCTCAATATCACATCCATCCAGATATATAGTGCAAAAGGTCTGTTGAAAATTATACCAACCATTAACAGTAGGAACATGTGCCTCTTACTTGAAGGGTGCCAGGTTCTCTATGTCATCCTCATTGATTGTAGTTCTAAATACAGTGCAACTCATATCTCATTTCCACGCACCTAGTGCTCCATTGGGCACTCACACACATCCTGCTCATCCTTTATCCATCCATTCCATGTTCATTTGGTTTAGTATATATTCCTATTCTATTCCTGTTAATCCTGATAATGTCTCTGGCACTATGCACACATATTCTGTATCTATATGTCATGGACCCTTATATTACATATTATCATATATTCACTTCAATTTCTAGTTTGCTTTAGTGCTTGACAACACAGCTTTACTTACATAGTTTCATGTATTTTTTTCTCTCTTAAGAAGGGACCACCATTATCTCACATTATCATTAGACTCTAAGTCTAAGCTTCCATCATAACTATCAACTAACACTAAGCACCTGCACATACATCAGTGCTAATCATTATATTCTTAACAGGATTTCTTCTTATTATCTTTCAACTTATGTAGAATTGCTGTGCTCTAATTATCTGCATGTACACTTTATATTCGCTCAATGTACACTGTCACATCTGATCATATAGTAGCATGTCATAACACTTTCACTTTTCTGTGCTTTATACATCATTGCACACCTTATCAGACTTGACTAAGCACCCAGTTTAGTGTTTTTTTTTCTATTTATATATATAGAGGAACATCCTTAGTAACAATCCCTTTGGGCCAACATTAGCTTACATACAGAAGATTATCTGAGTATATCTCACACTACCCACTTTCCATTACTACATATTCCTCACCTACAACACCTAAATTCAAGACCTTATTGAGGTTGCTATCAATAACAGCTAGATCAGTATATATATTTTATTTATTTCCATTGTGCTGTAGACTCTCCCTTCAGAGATGCCCTTACTTCTATAATACTACTATCTCTAACCCAGTATTGCAAAATGGCTCAGAGTTACAAATCACAATGTAACATAGCACACTCATATTTTACTCATTTCCTTTGCACAATAATTCTAGAGGATGATTGATTGATAGCTTACTATTTGTATTTTTTATCTCATGAAAAATAGATGAGAAGTGCTTGCAGCAGTGAAACACTGCTCAGAATATGCATGCAAAGTTAAAATTCAGCACATACTATATGGTTATGCAAAAAAATACAGAAATATGTTGAGGCTACATCACCAGAAAGAAGCTGGTATAAAATAGTGTTTGAGCACAGAGTTGCAAAAATTCTCACCTGCATAGATCATAAGTTTTGCAATACTAGGCTGGAGATAGTACAAGCAAGACTCAATTAACTTGTTGATTCAAGCATTGGAACCATAGATGGTGAAATTTTGAAAGTCCATGGTAAAGAACAGACCAAAAAGAGTGAAAGATGGTACTGATGATATCAGCATTCATAATGAAAGCATTGAACATTGGTTAGCATGGCAGACATGATATGATATGCACCTGCACCAATTTCACCCCTAGTAGCAACAGGGCACTATTAAGAATATGCTCAAAGATTGAATTTAAAAAGCTTGGCTTCAGTTCGTGTACTGTGCCCTCTATCCAGGTATGTACCCTTAACTTCCAAGGGCTAAAGAACAAAGTCTGGAAGTTCAGAATCTGGATGCATAGGAATTCCAGTGGACATTCAGAAACAGGAGGTAAAACTAATCTGAATGAAGTTTAAAATAAAAATAAACAGCAGAAGACTACCAGAGGTGGAGGTGGAGAATGAAAAGAGAAGTGGATTAGATTTGGACATCTGGAAATAATTGCATGATAGATCTAATGTGGATATAACAATTCTAATAATAATTCAGAACAATGTGTTAGGTCTTACAGAACATAGCTACTAATTGACCCTAAAGGATTTCTGGACCAGGCTTAAGGCTCAGAGAAGAGGAAACATCATCAAAATTGCTAAAGACTTAGACTCATAGTAAAAACACAGGTGCACCCAGATCTCACATAGATCCATCTAAAAAGGGCCATAGCTAGGAGCCTCATCAGCTACATCAGTGCTTGCCATTATTATGAACTCAGATAGAGTCTTCCATAACAGCTCCAATAAAAGAGATCAAGAGTACAGTATCAGGTAACAATGACTAGAGGTAGAACTCTAGTGACATGATTATATATCAACTAGTCTCTTCACAAAGAGCTAGATCAGTAGGCACCCTCAGGTCCAAGTTAGTATCAAGTATAAACTGAATAGATTCACGTTAAGGAAAGGTAGCTGGGGTTGTTTATATATGTAGAGAGAAGTGCACAGACCAGTCTATAAGGTTATCCTTATGGTTAATATGAGGTACACTAGAAGCAAGACAGGGATCAAGAAATATTATACATATGTAGTCCTGCAAGTGATGATGGGAAAATGATGGGGTTACTATAACAGTCATCATGCTATCAAGTAGAGCCCAAAGGGACAGAAAATAAAAGAAATAAAAAGAAATAAACAGCCTAAATGAACTTGCTGGAATGACAACATC